AGGAGACTTAAAGCTGGCAACCCACTAAAGTTACCAGGAGCCTCTCATGGGCAGTGCCACCTTAACAGCATCATGGGCCCCATGGCAAAGTAAAGCGCTGGGGCCCCTACCAGGGAGATGGTGACCTATGTTGCGCATAGAGTCCCATGGCACACGGTGGGTGTGAAAGCTGGCACATCCCTTAGTAACAGCACCACACAGTAAATACTTTGCGCTTGTGAAGCACACCGTTATCCTTTGATTGCCCAAGGTTTTAACCCCTTCCCAGCCAGTGTCAGTATATATTATTAGCACTGTTTTAGTGTCACTGGAGATGTACGTGTCATTTAACCAGTTCCCACAAAGTGTCAGCATCTGAATGCATGTTGTACTATCACAGTCCCACTATAATTTGCTGATCATCACCAGTACTAGTAAAAAATAAAGAAATAAATGCATAAATAAAAATTCCAGTATATGCCCCATAGTTTGCAGACACTAGAACTTTCACATAAACCAATTACTATACGCTTATTGGGATTTTTTTTTACCAGAAATAAGTAGCAGAATACATTTTGGCCTAAATTTATGAAGGAAGGTTATTATATAATTTTTTTTTTATTGGATATGTTTTATAGCAGAAATGAAAAAATAATGTTTTTTTTCATTTATATAATACAGAATAAAAAAACTCAGTGGTGATCAAATACCATCAAAAGAAAGCTCTATTTGTAGTAAAAAAAATGTCATATAAATTTTGTTTTGAGTACAGCATTGCATGACTGTGCAATTACCAGTTAAAGTAACGCAGTGCTGAATAGCAAAAAATGGCCTGGTCATAAAGGGGGTAAAACCTTCCGGAGGTCAAGCGGTTACGTTTTTAGGGCTGTGTTGCAGTGGATAACACAATTCTTTGAAAAGGTTGTATGCTATCAACGAAAGGCACACACTAGTGTGACTTAATCTGTGATTCGAAACTTCAGCAGAAGCACTTCCCATGCTCGCCTGTTATATTCAGTGGTGCTCATTCACACCAGAGTGTAGCATCATTTGAAAATCATTGCTCAAAAAAGGGCACGAGCTTCATTTAGAACAGAGTTGCACATCTTGGCTCTAATAGATGTCAATACGTCAAGATGTCAAGCGCCTGAAAAACGTGTGTAAAGTGTTATTTTTTGCATGTTTTCTTGCCTAGTAACCAGCTTTACATTGGCTAAAAAAACTCAAGCCTGAACTGTCTGAAAAACGCCTGTATAAACTCTGAAAATAATTAAAAACAAAACTACCAAAACATTCTCAGGTATGAATAGGGCCAAAAGTCTTAATGACTTCACCGCGATACATCTCAATATTCCGCAAAGCATTTGGAAAGTGTATTACATGCATTCCAAAGCTTAAAGCGGTTGTAAAGGATTCCTTGTTTAAAATAATAAACATGTCTATACAGTACTTACCTGCTCTGTGCAATGGTATTGCACAGAGCAGCTCTGATCCTCCTCTTCTGTGGTACCCCCCCCCCCCACTGGTGCTCTCAGCAACTCCTTTATGTGTGTCCCCTAAGCAAGCTTCTTGCTATGGGGGCACACCTGTGGGCTTGCTCCCAAGCTGGGCTCTGCCCCCACTCCTTCCGCACTGGATCTGATTGACTATTGGCTCCTGCTGCTGCCTCTGTGTCTTGTGAGGAGAGGTACAGAAGCCAGCACCGCTGCAGATGGGCACTGGCTTGAGATAGGACTCAGGTAAGTAAATAGGTGGTGAGGGGTTGATACAGCTACTGGGACATATTTTACCTTCATGCAGGGAATGCATGAAGGTAAAAAATGTCTAGCCTTTAGAACCACTTTAAAATAACTTCCTATTACCACCTGTATAAATTAGTAGAATTAAAAGGCAAAACCTTTTTCTTTTCAGTTTGGATAGAGTAAGGGAGGGTTTATAGCCCCTGTAAGGTTTATTTTTACCATTTGTGTCCCATTGGGGAGATTTCATCTCACTTCCTGTCCCATAGCCATAACAGGAAGTGAAAGAAAATCCTTCCTTTTTGTTATACCTCTAAGGGTTTAGTCATATTATGGTTTAATAAGTATAAGCTCATGCAGGACAGCTGCAGTTTACGTCTAGGGTGATCCACGCTTATGCCAGTACATTTTTATAGGGGCTACAATTTGCTCATGGTTTATTTACCTTCTAAAATGTATTTCTAGGGAAGACTACAATAATGAAATAGTGAGGTTTTATCTCTTTACTTTGAGAATAGACATGAGATCATGCAAACTTGAAAAGTGGTCTGTGGGCAGTCTAAACAGCTGTCAGCCCTTATTTTATTTGTTTTTTTTTACCGGTTTACATAATATAAGGAGTTGGAGAACATTTAGGGTGATTTTCAAATAAAATGGCACTGGGGTGCCATTTTTTCTGCAGCCCAGTTCCAATGTTTTCCTGCATAGGACATGGAAACAAGGCTAAGCAACTCAACAATCCACAAAAACATAGGAACTGGGGTGAAAAAAATGGCAGGGGGTGCTATGGACTGATGAGTCAAAATTTTAAATATTGGCAGTTGGTTCTCAAAGGGCTGGAGATTGGTACTATAATTCATTTTGCACATGGACACAAACAGCTACAGTGGGGAAAATAATTATTTGATCCCCTGCAGATTTTGTACGTTTGACCACTTACAAAGAAATGAAGGGTCTATAATTTTTATCATAGGTGTATTTTAAATGATAGAGACAGAATATTTACCAAAAATCCAGAAAAAACACACGATACAAATGTTATAAATTGAATTGCAGTTTAGTGAGTAAAAAAAAGTATTTGATCCCCTACCAACCAACAACAATTCTGGCTCCCACAGACTGGCTATGTACTCATGTGGTATACAGATTAGTCCAGTCAATTTAAGAAGGTGCTCCTAACGACAACTCATTATGTGTATAAAAGACATCTGTCCACAGAATCTCTTGCTTCTATTCAAACCTCATCATCATGGGCAAGACCAAAGAGCTGTCAAAGGACGTCAAGGACAAGACTGTAGACCTGCACAATGCTGGAACAGGCTACAAAAACATCAGCAAGAAGCTTGGTGAGAAGGGGACAATTATTGGAATGATAATTCACAAATGGAAGGAATACAAAATAACCAACAATCACCCTCGGTCTGGAGCTCCATGCAGGATTTTGCCTCATGGGGTAAGGATGATCATGAGAAAAGTGAGAACGACATAAATATTAATTTTCACAAAGTTTGCTGCTTCACTTGTCAGATGTTACTATGGTATACTGAAGTATAATTACAAGCATTTCATAAGTCACAAAGCCTTTTATTGACAATTACATTAAGTTTATGCAAACTGTCAATATTTACAGTGTTGACCCTTCTTATTCGCCCTGGTATGCTGTAAATCAACTTCTGGGCCACGTCCTGACTGATGGCAGCCCATTCTTGCATAATCAATGCTGGAGTTTGTCAGAATTTGTGGGGGGGTTTTTTTGTTCACCTGTCTCTTGAGGATTGACCACAAGCTCTCAATGGGATAAGGTCTGGGTAGTTTCCTGGCCAGGGCCCCAAAATTGTGATGTTTTGCGCCCCAAGCCACTTAAATATCACTTTTGCCTTCACAACAATTGAACCTCTCTCCTTGAAGTTCTTGATGATCCAATAAATGATTGATTTAGGTGCGATCTTAGTAGCAACAATATCCTTGCCTGTGAATCCCTTTTTGCGCAAAGCAATAATGACTGCACGTTTCCTTGCAGGTAACCATGGTTAACAGAGGATTAACAATGATTTCAAGCACCACCCTCCTTTTAAAAGGATAAATTCACCTTTGGAACATGTTACATGTTCCACCCCTGTTAGGGTGGAACATATAACATATTCCCATAGCTGCAGCTGCTGCCCGCAGCCCCCCTCCCTCTGACAGATAGTACAGGGAAACTTCTTCCTGTACTGCCAGATTTAAAACAGTGTGGCCGTGTGGGGCTCCGCCCACAAGGCCGCGTCATTCTTTCACGGACTTCCATGAATTAATGAACTCCAAGTCCCGACAGCCTTAGCAGTTGTCAGCTTGTAGTTTTCAAAGAACTACCACAGTGCTGTGGAGCACCTTTGTAGTTCATTGAAGCTTCCTGTCAGTATATCTGCTTGTACGTACATCCCATACAGCAAGCAGATATTCCTACAGGTCTGCAGGAGACCTGCATGGCATCACCGATCTACTGATCTCCGGTGCAATGCTCTACAGGCTCCTTTGGACAAAAAAAATAAATGCACATTTTTACCTGCAAAAAAAGTGCATTTATTATTTTTGTCCAAAAGGTGAACTTATCCTTTAAAGCTAACTCAATCAGCATGACAGAGTGATCTCCAATCTTGTCCTCGTCAACACTGACACCTGTATTAACGAGAGAATCACTGACATGATGTCAGCTGGCCCTTTTGTGGCACGGCTGAATGCAGTGGAAATGTTTTTTTTTTTTTTGTATTAAGATTATTTTCATGGCAGAGAGGCACTTTGCAATTCATCTGATCACTCTTCATAACATTCTGGAGTATATGCAAATTGCCATCATAATAAACTGAGGCAGCAGACTTTGTGAAAATTATTATTTGTGTCATTCTCAAAACTTTTAAACCAGGGTTGTATATTTCTAAAAGTGCTATTGATGTGAAATTTTCACCACGTCAGTAACAACCCATGTAATCCATATATACAAAGAAACCAAAACAAATCAGTTCAGAAATGAAGTTATGTGTATAAACAGTTCCCTGATCGAATATGACATGTCCGCTCAGCTACACGTGCTGTATTCTATTTTACTATTTTTTACTTATTTTTCTATCTTGTATTATTAACCACTAGCCTACAGGGCACTTATACCCCCTTCCTGCCCAGCCAATTTCCAGCTTTCAGCGCTGTCACAATTTGAATGACAATTGCGCAGTCATGCAACACTGTACCCATATGAAATTTTTTATCATTTTTTTTGTGACAGATAGAGCTTTATTTTGGTCGTATTTAATCATCTCTGGGTTTTTTATTTTTTCTTAAACAAACCAAAAACCACTGAAAATTTTGAAAAAAAAAAGTTTTCTTAGTTTTTGTTATAAAATTTTGTAAATAAGTGATTTTTCTCCTTCACTGATGTGCGCTAATGAGGCTGCAGTGATGGACACTAATAGGTGGCACTGGTAGGTGGCACTGATGGGCATTGACAGGCATCACTGATGGGCACTGAAAGGCAGCACTCATATATGGCACTGATAGGTGGCACTGACTGGCACTGTTAGGCGGCACTGATAGGTGGCACTGATAGGCAGCTCAGATGGGCACTCATATGTGGCATTGATGTGCACTGGTAGGCACTGAAATATGGCACTGATGGGGCACTGGCAGGTGGCATGGATGAGCACTGAGAGCTGGCATTGATGGACACTGACAGGTGGCACTGCTGGGGCTACACAGATCATCAGGGCACACTGATCATCAGTGCTCTGATGATCAGTGCACATGTCCCCTCCGAAGAATGCCGACCGGCTCTCCTCTCCTCTCGAGCTGTCAACGTGACAGCTCGTGAGGAGAGAAATGCCGATAACCGGCATTTCCCTGTTTACATGCGATCAGCTGTGATTGGACACAGCTGATCACATGACCGAGCCGACATCTTCGGCTCTTTCCGTTGAACACAGCGCACCACTGATCACCACGTGCTCCCGGAGCCGTGCATGCACGGTTAGAATGGGAGGACGTCCTCCCAGAACGAGAGAACCGCCTTGCGCCCGTCATTGTACTATATGGCGGGCGGGAGGTGGTTAAAGTGCCATCTAGTGGCTAAAATACAGTATTTGTTTTTGAATGCCTCAATCCAGCACAAAAAGGATTTTCGGCCATGAAATGGAGTTTCAATCATATGACATTCATGACAACTTGCCTACTGCATATTGTGATCTGTGATTGGCTAAAGTTAATCACATGGTACAGGCTTCTGTGACGGAATCACAGCATCACTATAATAAGCAACCTCCGTTATTTTCTGAATCATGTCTACTATTTTTCCCCCAATACTCTTGAATGTTAGGACACTCCCTGAACGATGTGTGTATATTCACACACACATGGACTTGATAGAATAGATTGTGCTATATAATGTTGTGATACAATCAGAACCATTACAAGGAAACTGCAAGATTTTCAAGGATCTAAAATTACTGTTTAGGTTTTAAAAGGAACAATTAAAAAAAGTAAAACATTCTATAGTTATCGGTGGCGGAGCTTTTTTAGATATCTAAATGTAAATGAATAGAAATGTCCTTATTTCTGGAGTTGGGTAGCTCCTAATATACAAGTCAGCTGTTCTTTCAAACTATTACCTTTAGGCAACGGCTAGTTTAAAGCAGTGTACTAATGTACACTAGCAAATTCACAGAATATACACTGTAGATATGAATGGTTTTACCTGCCAAAAAGGTGAAATATTTTTCAACCAGCCTTATGATGCAGCCACCCCTGCTACATAGCAAAGCCAGGTCAGTAATCTCACTTTTCACAACTACAGTACAATTGAATCTGTAACTAGAGAAATAACAGAGCTGCTATTACTAACTTGTTTTTAGTCCTCATCAGGGGCGGACTGACCATTTGGAAACTCTGGCACTGCTCGAGGACCCGGGGTCAGTAGGGGGCCCTATGAGATGCCCCTGGTACCTTTTTAATAGGCTTTTTTGAGTTTGGGCAAGGACACATGGGCCCCATGTATTGTCAGTCTGCCCCTGGTCCTCATGCACATTTGACATTTTTACAGTTGCTGTTTTTGGCTTTTGATGTTTTTTTTCTACAGCTAGTAAACCCCCCAGCATGTTATCCTATGTGTCCATACATACATAGACTGTAACCAATGTTTTTTGGCTGGAAAAAAACCCAGGACTAGTGGGTTTCTAGAGTTTTTTTTAAACGCTCTAACGCTGAAAACCGCCACACAACTGGCGTTTTTGGATGTTTTTTTACCAAGAAAAAATTTTTTGGTAAAAAAATGCTTCAAAACACAAACACAGAAAAATGCTGCTAAAGGCAGCAAAATGCCTCTAAACACCAATGCAAAAAACGCTAAAAAAAACCCAAAAAACTGAAAAACTCACTTTTTTAACGTGACTTTACACAGCTAACATTACCAGCGTTATCAAAACGTCCCGTGTGTATGGGGGCTTAAAGTCATAGGCTTTGGAGCTTTATCCTTCCCTACACACTTAACCAACTACCCAGAATACAGTTCTACCTTAACAAAACAGGTCTCAACCTACTAGAATTCTTCAGTAAAATGTATCTGTAGCTGGAACATTTTGCTCATATTTCACCATAAAACATAGAACTTGTTAAATCGGGGCCATATTTCTCATTAAGCACATTAGGCCTTCTCCTATACTGTAGCAGGCAAAGAAAAAAAGTTCTGCTGTAAAAAAAACTGTAAGCAGACAGGCTTTTACTGCAGAAGAGACATACACGGGTTTATTTACTAAAGCTGGTTCGCTCAGAATCTCGTGCACATTTGCATGGAAACCAATCAATGAAATTGCTAACTTCTCCAATACTTTTCTTCATCTTTAAATTTTCAGTTAAAAAAAATGCATGAAAAATGCTTCCCTTTAAATCCTATGGAATTCTTCACACTGGTCAGTTGTGTTTCAGTTGCATTTTTGGCTGTTTTCACACTGCTCTGTTGCAAAAAACGCTAATCTTCCACTTTATTGTAAGCGCTTGACCTATGGAAAGACTTTACCCCCCCTTCATTATCAAGGGATGTTTTAGAGGTTTGGCACTGTGCTACTTTAACTGGCAATTGCGTGGTCATGCAACACTGTATGCAAATTACATTTTTATTAATTTTTTTTTTTCATAGAAACCGTGCTCTCTTTTGGTGGTATTTGATCACCCACTGGGTTTTTTTTCTTGCAATATACGTAATTGAAATAGGACAAAAAATTAAAAAATATATATATTTTTTACTTTGTTATAGAACATATCCAATAAAAAAATCAAGTTTGTTCATGAATTTAGGCCAAAATGTATTCTGCTACATGTCTTGGGTTAAAAAAAAATCCAAATAAGTGTATATTATTTGGTTTGCATCAATGTTATAGCATCTGGTAGAATATATATGAATTTTTTTTTTAATACTATTTGGCAGTGATCAGCAACTTATAGTGGGACTGTGATGGCGGGCAATCTGACACTAGCTGACTTGGACTGTGGGGGTGGGTACACTAACTGTCCCCACAATCTCTCTTCCCAATATAATGTCCACATAACTACCTTTGACAAATCCAAGGCTTTGAATACTACACCCGTCTCCTCAATCAGCTCTCCATATCCAACAAAACATCAACTTCCAATCGCATCCCCTGTACCTCCCTTATCCAAGTATTAATTTAACTGCTAACTATGATTGTTTATATTTCGCCAACTATCCTCATAAAGAAACTAATCTCCTTTTTTACTTGAATGGGACATTGGTAAGGTTGAATAATGACACTGGACCAGCTTGTTCAGAGTGTGCTCCTGTGTCTACCATTTTACATATCCCTGTATATTGTGTTCGCTAAGATGCTCATCTAAAAGTGATTTAAAATTAACAACATCCCCTGTTAAAACCACCAATTGTGAAATGGAGTTCCACATTCTTACTGCTCTGGCAGAAAATAGCGCCCCACGCAGTTTAAGGTTAAACCACTTCTTGTCCAATTTCTATGAGAGTCTACGTCTTGTTAAGAGGCCCTGATACTGAATAATTTTCTCCTTATGCTAGAATCACCATTTAGATATTTGTAAATTGTGATCTACTGGGACCCCCAGATTCTTTTCCATCCTTGATTCCCTTAGAGGATGTTCCCCTAGCAAGTATCTTCTTGCATTCGTATTTTTAGTCCCCAAGTGCATTACATTATATTTGTCAATATTAATCCTCATTTGCCCACTCCTCTGTTTTATCAAGGTTTTCCTGTAAACTTGATATATCCTGTTGTGGGATTACAAAAATCCTTTATCTTGGCTTGGTAGAATCTCAGCAGTTTAAAAAGACTTGAATTCTTGAAATGAATTCTCCTCAAAATTTTTGTTCAATATTTGTTATTAACAAGAGAAGCGTAGAAAAGTATAACACATTGTTGAAAGATAGTGCTCCAGAGTGTAGTGATAAGCAGCGCAGTGTCCATTAACAAACCATGCATGTAATAGTTGGCATGGAAGGCTGTGTACATAGGATGTAAAACAATAGCTTCGAGGAGAAAAACAGCAGCTGCTAATCATAAATTAGGGCATCTGTAAGGCAAAGTCAACATAAAGGACACCTACTGAGCAAAATAATTTAAGGCAACCATTGTTGATGGATTCCTCTGAAAATTCTTCACTATTTCCACGTCTTATTCCAATCCTTTCCCATATCTTGAGAATGCTGCAACGCTGGATTGTTAACTTTATATGACACAACGCTAGGCCCAAATTTAATGAAGACGCTCTTGTGTGTAATAAATATCCTAGTGGTCTTAGTTTAACGTACCTCTCAAAATATTACTACACTGCCCTAAATATCATGCTACAGCTGAGATACTGCTATGGGTGGTAATTGAGGCAGCTGACTGTGGTCCCCTCCAGATAAATAACCTCTTTTGGCTTAACCTTGGCAATAAATGCCATCTCTCCAAACCTATCACTAAATTTACATTGCCGATATGGGATGCGGTCATATACCCCATGATTGCCCAGTAAACTCCTTTTGTTTTTTACTTATAATCCTGCTTTTGCACCCGGATCAGTCTTCTATCTTCTTTAAGGAATGAGCATATAGGAACCTAACCAAACTTAGACATTTTCTCACTAAAGATGGAGTCAAATCCTTCCAGTCTTTGCAACAAGCAACAGAGCTCCCTAATATTGAACTCTTCCATTACTTCCAAATAAAACTTTTTACAATCTAGTGTTTTCAAACCTGATGATTGTTCTTGGCTTACCATGGATGATCTCGCAACTCTGCTCCACCCCTTTTCTCTCCTCAATCACAACAGCCCCTTACTGATAAAGAGACCTGGGTCTAAATTTGGATGTACAAGAATGCTCCTACATATTGAAAACAACCAAATCCTGCTCCCGAAATGTTCTGGCAGTAGAAACTAATTATAAAGTCCTAACACACGGTACCTTCTAGAATTGCCCACTGGATGCATGGATATCTACTATAATGTTTTAGGAGATGTGGACAAAGGGGAACTTTTCTCAATATATAGTGGACGTGCCCTATAGTAAGATAATTTCGCTACAAGTATTCTAGCTGATCCCCAAACTAACAGACTTCTCAATCTCCTTTTTTGGCCCAGCATGCTCTACTAAATCTCAAATCCTCCTGGCCTTTCTATAAAATAGTTTTACACTTCTCCTTCACATTTTTCAAAGCCTGGAAAGCACCTATTCTCTCCCTTAATGAAACAAAAGAAAAAAAAAAAAAAAAAAAAAAAAAAAAAGACTCAACTCAGGTATGTTACATGAGAAAACTGAAGCCAAACTCAAATGATAACATGAATACATTTCTGGCCATTTGGCAACCCTAGAGCTCTAAATTTCACCATACTTGTTTCAACGGGAACATCCTTGAAATCTGGTCGGGAAGGTGTGTCTCCTCTCCCTTTTTTTTTTTTTTTTGCTCTCCCCTTTCCTCCATTCTTTTCCTTCCCTCGTCTATCCTCTTTGCCCAATCTACTTCTCTGACCTCTCCCATTATGGATGATGACCTCATTTATAGGTTTCTATCAGCAATTCATCCCTTACCTAACGTGTACTTCTTTATGAATGGCCTTTATTGTTCCTCACATAGTCCTTTGTGGGTAAAAAAAAAACCCTGTGTGCAGCAGCCCACCCTAATATTTACCCGAGCCCAATCTCAATCCAACGATGTGCATGAGAGCAGTGGCTCTCCAGGGTTTTCTCCTCCTGTTACAGCAGCAAGAGCCATTGGCTCCCGTTACTGTTAATCAAACCCAGTAAGCCAATGAGGAGAGAGCAGGGAGTGGGGCCGAATAGCAGTCCCTGTGTGAATGGACACAGAGCAGTGGCTCAGGTGTGCCCATGGCAAGCAGCTTGCTCTGGGGGTACTCGGCAGGGTGGAGGGGCCAGGAGCACTGGCGGGAGACCCAAGAAGAGGAGGATCAGAGCTGCTCTGTGCAAAACCATTACACAGAGCAGGCAAGTATAACATATTTGTAATTTAAAAGAAAATATCTGCCTTTAATATCACTTTAAGTTATCAATACCTTTTTTTGCTTTCATTCTCTTCAATTAACTCACAAGACTTGTATGTCATCTTTAAATTCTTGGTTTATTATCAATTGTACTTATCCCCTTGTGCAAACTCAAACATATTTAAACAAGAAAAAGATATGGTCAGCTTCAGAGTACATTAAGTTGCTATGTTAAATTATGCAGGTGTGCAAACCTGTTCTTTGTTACTGAACAATGTATACAGGAGGTGACCTACTCACCCTTTGTCTAAAACAGGGGTCTCCAAACTTTCTAAACAGAGGGCCAGTTTACTGGCTTTCAGACTTTAGGAGGGCCAGACTGTGGCCATTGGGAGTAGAAATTGTCCTGCTTCATTGGGAGGAAACAATGCATCTTTGGCATCAGGCATTAGGGGAGGAATAGTGCCCTATTCTTGGTATAAGTTAGATAGTTCCCCATCGTTGGTGTCAGTGGGTAGAATAGTGCCGTTGTTGGTGTCAGTGGGAGGAATAATGCCCCATGGTTTGTTTCAGTGAGAGGAATAGTGCCCAATTGTTGGTGTGAATGGGAGGAATAGTGACTGTTGTTGATGTCAGTAGCAGGAATTATGCCCCCTTGTTGGTGTCAAAGGAAGGAATAGTGTCTTGTATAAGTGAGAGAAAAAAAAGTGCCCCAAGGGCCGAATAAGGGCAAGAAAAGGGCCGCATCCGGCCCCCGGACCATAGTTTGGAGACCACTGGTCTAAAATAATAAAAATAGATTTCTATAGTTTTTAATGTATTTGCAAATAAACTTCTGGTTTCATTTGCCCTGATGCATTTTAATTTCAGTATCATGAAGCCTGAGAAGATGATTGGGATATAATATTACATTATATTATAGGTTTTTGCTATTGTTAACAAATGTATAGGGGGTTATTCTGTGCTTTAGCCTTTACAAAATCTAAAAAAATACATAGTAAACATTCTATGGATATTATGGAGCTTATTTACTAAAATTAGAGAGTGCAAAATCTGGTGCAGCTGTGCATGGTAACCAATCAGCTTCTAACTTCAGCTTGTTCAGTCAAGCTTTGGCAAAAATACCTGGAAGCTGATTGGTTTCTCTGCAGAGCTGCACCAGATTTTGCACTTTCCAGTTATAGCAAATCAACTCCCCTGTATCTGCAGGAAGATCTAGCGAATGGTCTTCATATAAATGTTCACACATCAACTATAAATCCATAAATGAACTCAAATAGAACATGGTTTATACAGCAATCGATTGCCATCTGCTGGCAGAAAAGTGAAGAACAATTTATGGATCCCAGCCATCATCTGCAAACATGTCTACACTCCTCTTCTGAAAAGTCTTGCGAAACTCTTCATCAAACATATTGAGATCTTCTTCACCTTTAAATATTCCCTGAAATGAATAAAGACAAGAAGTTAACATCTTAAAGCTGAACTCTGAGGTAAGCACATAATGTCTAAAAACAAGAGCCCTGTATTCTTATCTGAACCTTGGTGTGCTTTGTGTATTTCTTGCAGATCTGTGTAGTAATCCAGTGTGAAACTTTGCCTTTTTCTTTGCAGGAACCTCCTGTAATAAAGACCAGTCTCTGCTTCTCTATCTCCTTGTGCAGGGTGACTGGTCTTGTATCCACCCCCCTCCTGTAGTCTTCAGCATGCAGTCAGCAATGGATCGGTCTTCTGGGTCCTTTCCAAAGATCTGCTCAGACTATGCTATACTATGATCATTACGCTGTTACTTCTACAAGGTAATATTTGCATTTGCAAAGGCATTTGGTGCACATAAAGTGAATGTATATCCTTTGTGACTATTGAGGAAATATTTAAAAAAAAACAAACCAATTGTTGAGCTTTAGACCATATTTGGCAGGTTTGTAAATCTGGATGTAAGAAAACGGTTTCACACCTAGCAATTAAATTCTGGTACTCCTGCAGAGCAAACTAGAAAGAAACCACACACACAATACAGGCCATAGTGTTTTAAAGGATAAGTTCACCTTCTATAACATGTTATATGTTACACCTAGATTCAAGCTGTAACATGTTACTGATGCAGCAGCCCCCCTTGCAAGTCCCCATTGTCACAGTGGGACAATGATCTTCTCCCCACACCGGCTGTCACAATTTAAAATAGTTTCTGTGAATGGGAGAACTACAACTACCATCAGCCATTGCCGCTGATGGCTTGTAGTTTTCAATTATTATTATTATACAGGATTTATACAGGATTTATATAGCCCAACAGTTTGCACAGCACTTTACAATATAAGGGAGACAATTACAATACATTTCAGTACAGAAGGAATAGGAGGGCCCTGCTCGTGGAGCTTACAATCTAAAGGAAGAGGGAGGTGATACAAAAGGTGATAGCTGCAGGGGATGATCTAGTGGAGGTGATTCAAGTACAGTTCTTAGGTGGAGGTGGCATAGGCTTCCCTGTATAAGTGAGTTTTCAGAGATCGCCTAAAGGCAGACAGGGTGGGGGCTGACCGGACATACTGTGGTAGGGAGTTCCAGAGGATGGGAGACTCTGGAGAAGTCCTGGAGGCGAGCGTGGGAGGAGGTGATGAGGGAGCTAGAGAGGAAGATATCTTGGGAGGAGCGGAGTGGGCGATATCTGCGGATGAGGTTGGCGATGTAGCTAGGGGCAGTGTTGTGGATGGCTTTGTAAGCTGAACTACCAACTTACAAAGCCATACAATTTATTATTATTATTATACCGTATTTATATAGCGCTAAAAGGTTTGCTCAGCGCTGTACATTATAGTGGGGGACAGAACATGAGACAATACAGTAACAAAACAAAACACGAGGGGGTCAAGGGCCCTGCTCTTTCAAGCTTACAATCTAGGTCAAAATGTATTCTGCTATGTATACTGCTTTATTGAACATAACCCAAATCAGTGTTTATTATTTAGTTGGTAGGAAAGTTATAGAGTCCACAAACTATGAAAAATGAAGAAATTAAAAATGTTTTTTAAAATTTTTTTTTTTAAATTTACAAACTGTCACCAATGCAGTATAGTGTTATCACATAACTGGTGTGGCGGTGATCATTGACACTGACTGCTGACAGTATGTAAAAAGATAATTATTATTTTTCTAAATTTTTTTTTTTTTTTTTTTTTTTTTTTTTTTTAACTCCTGTAACCAGAGCAATACAATGTTACTATAATAACACTGTACTACTCTGGGCAAGTGATCAAGATTCAATCACATTATGATTGCTTATACCAGTGGATTTCAATGGTATAATTAACCATTTTTACTGAATGAAACAGATTCATTCAGTAGTTATTGTTGTGATTAGCCATGTCTGTATCATGTGATCACTGTGACCAATCACAGCTAGCAACAGAATTGTAAGCACTAAATGGCATGAAAGGAAGCCAATCATTGTTTACAACTGCAGTGTGATCTACTATGATTGGTCAGAATGATACAATATTCAGTCATCGGCTTTGTCCAGTGGACACAGCCGGTGACAGATCACGCCGGAGTGCGGCCCGTGGAGGGCACGTGAGGAGGAATCCTGGGGACATTAAATAAAGATGTTAAAAATGGCACAGAAAGTGGTTTACAGAGTGAAGTAGGTTATCAAGTTCTGCCTATTTTTAAAGGGGATTGCCAGTGACAACCTGACATTTTTGTGGGACACCATCTTCTTGCCATCTTGTCCCCTAAAAATAAAATCTGCTAGAAGCAAAAACACAGCGAAGGGCACAAACCATATGAGGACAGCAAACACCAAATTCTGTGATGTCCTGATCCACATATTGGGCATACCTACACAAAGGCGGACATTACATCATTAATTTTCGGTATGTATAGTGTCACAGCAGGATAAGGTGTACTTCTGTAGTAACTCTGCCTTCATTTTAGTGCAGAGTAACACCTTCTGCTTTGCTGCTCACTGTTTGCAGGACAATGGCAAACTTCTGCACTCCCTAAACTATGTGAAGCATTTAGACCAGAAGTGTGTAAGCCGAGGGTTCAAACTGCCCAAAACTACTCATACGGTTTTACTGATTTAGAAAACAAAAAAAAAACACACAAACACTTTTCTGGGTGTGAGAGAAGAGTGGCAAATAGATATTAGAAGACACATAAAATAGCATACATGAAAGTGCAAACCAGATCATAAGAGACAGGCACTTACTTTTGGAAGGTAGCCCAGTAACTGGGTAGCATGTTGCCTGAGAAGTTTCTGTCTCTCCTCCTCAATGATGGCCCGGCGAAATGCTTCCCTTTTCTCTTCCTCCTGTTTTTCCAGGAGCTCACGTTCCTGCACACAGTTAGTTATTAGTATATTTTGTATGTTTCTCAAGTATTATTGTTAGTAGGTAATACGTTGCATCAAGATTTTATTCTAAAGCTGGCCAATACAGAAAAGGATTATTTACAGATTTGGTACTTGCTTATGGATAAGGTCCCTTTCCCATGGGGTGGACTCCGTCCGACCAGCAACTGTTCAGAACACAGATCCCCTGATGATCAGAGAAGTGCAGGTGGATGATGCATCCGTGTCAGATCAGTCCCCTTCCTTTTTTAGCGGACCGGGGGTAGGCAGGTGTAAACAGACACAAGTTTGGTTACTCCCGCCTGTCCTTAGGAATGAATGGACCTTCCATTCAAAAAACTGGCGGACCCAATTAAAAATGCAATCTGAAAGAGGCCCAAATCTGAAATATCTAATATTTGTTCATCAAACCAGAAACCTGGAGTGAATAGAGGATAGTAAAAAAGGGGAAATATATACCTAATATCTTTCTAAGAGATTAACTGCCATTTATGAACAACCTAAACAACCTATGCAACAGTCTATTTGACGACAATAAACATCCTGTGTATGGGCATCTAGAGTACTTTAGCCCATTTGATAACAATGCACGGAACTTATAAATAGTGCATGTTTAATCTCCTCCCTACCGCATGGTCCAACGTTTATTGCCAAAAGCGAGCATGAACTTAATGCCCCCACTGAGGACTTTGACTGGGACAAAATACTGACATTTACTTATTCCATCTCTTCTGGAGCACAGGAGCGTAGCTATAAAATTCTCTCCAGGTGGTATCATTGCCCTACTTCTCTGCATAAAATCAACCCATCCTTCCCAAACACCTACTGGAGATGTCTGCAGACCCCTGGCACCATGACTCATATTTGGAGCTCTTGTCCACTCATAAATCCTTTCTGGGACAAAATACTCCACCTCTACTATGATTTAGTTGGGGACAGAATCGCTAATTCTCCACTTATTACTCCGCTGTCAATGGTGCCTGTCCCCAATATGACATTTGTTTTCACACAAATAGAGCTTTATTTTGGTGGTATTTAACCGCCTCCCACCCGCCATATAAGGTAATGATGGGAGGGCGGCGGTTCTCTTGTTCTGGGAGGACGTCAACTCTAACTGCGCAGCGATCGATGGTGCGCTGTGTCCCTGGGACACAGTGGATCATCGATCACTGTAAAGAGCAGATGACATCGGCTCTGTCATGTGATGAGCTGTGTCCAATCAAAGCTGATCACATGTAAATTGGAAATGCCAGTTATTGGCAGTCCTCTCCTCCCGCTGACAGCTCGTGAGGAGAGGAGAGCCGGTAATTGGCATTACTCAGAGCGGACATCTACACTAATCATCAGAGTACTGATGATCAGTGTAGCCCCATCAGTGTCACCTGTCAGTGCCCATCAATGCCACATATCAGTGCCTACCAGTGCACATCAATAACTTACATTCATTCATACACATACTAGGGCCAATTTAGACAGGATCCAATTAACCTACCAGCATGTCTTTGGAGTGTCCATTATTTACAATTGTCATGTGACCTGTTATGATTGGTCATAGTGGCCACATAGTACTGGCAACAGGCTGCTACACAGATCAGTCATCTGACGTCTGCCTGGATCAACGAAAGCCCCACCAATATTCTATTATGAGTGTAAGATTTTGATATATTTTTTAATAATAATTTTATGTATATTGGATTTTAGTATATATCATATAGGGAGCTCATTCTTTTAAGTACCTGGCTATCAGATTGGGCTGCATGATTTTTCAAAAGACTAATTGCACCCTATATTGATCTAATTTACCCATATCTCGTATATGTATTGTCTATAACTTTCCATTTTTAATAGAGAAACAGAGAGGTGTTTTTTTTTTTTCCCTTCCTCTCTATGTATCCAGGAAGTCCCCAATACAGGTCTGATCAGAACTGAGCTTCCAGAAAATGGCCGCCATTCGCATGTTTTCACACGCATGCGCGAACGGGCGGATATGACGTCAATGTCTGGTATTGCGCATGTGCGCAGTACACTATTTATGAGCTGTCACTGAGGGAGGCACGCTTCCTTTGAGAACGTGCTATTGCACGAAACATGTCAGGAGGCTGCCCTCAGTGACATACCACGTGGTTTCCTCGTATATGGCCGGCGGCCATCTTTAATACTGATATTCTACAACAAAGTGTGAGTTTATTTACTTATGTTTATATTGGTCATATCCTGATCCTATTAAAGCAATATTGCACTATGGAAATCTTTGTGCTTGGGCTCATTTTGTTATGAGCCTGCCTTTCTAAGGAGACCTTTGACGACATCTGCAAGTGTTGGCTCCCCCTGGTGTTCATTTGATTGTACTTCTGGTACCTGGAAACCCTGATGGTGCGCTGTAGATCCTGCTGATGCCCACCAGATGACCCGGTGCTCCAGATGCTTAGATGCGGATGACCAGGAGTTGGTTTAATCACTCAAATGCACATTACTGTGCGCTATCTGGTTAGTGCAATCTACATTTGTTCACCTATGTCACAGATGTCAACTAAATACTGATGATTGATTTTCACTTCACTATATGCACCTGTTCTAATCCCAGTGTGGCCGTTTATTAGACTTACTTGCTTAACGCTTTATTACGGTTTTGGGATATCTCACTCACCATAGAGACTACGATGCATTTGTGATATATTATCAATATCGCACTGAGATGTTTTGCTCTTTTTTTACATGGTTTTTAACATTGTCCTCTTTAGCGCTGCATGCTGAATATATATGTTTTCTAGAAGATTTAGGGGTTTGCCTTTCATGCCAGCTGCTTTCGCCATATACATCCAGCGCTCGTTCTACATCTGAACCATACATCTAATTATAGACCTGTTAGTTTAACTTCTATAGTTGGGAAGATACTGGAGAGTTTAATAAAAGACAACATAGATGAGGTCTTGCTGGAAAAAAAAATATTTTAAGCAACAGACAGCATGGATTCATGAAAGACAGAAGTTGTCAAACAAATCTGATTTCTTTTTATGAGGGGATGAGCAAAACCTTGGACAGAGGGGTGGCGGTGGACGTGGTATACTTGGATTTTGCAAAAGCATTTGACACGGTTCCCTACACACGGCTGATGTGTAAAGTAAAGTCTACAGGCTTGGAAAAATCTGTATGTAAATGGATAGAAAACTGGCTAAAAGATTGTATTCAGAGAGTAGTGGTTAATGATTCATACTCTGAATGGTCTAGGGTTGTCAGTGGTGTACCTCAAGGTTCAGTGTTGGGACCCTTACTTTTTTAATATATATAGGGTCTGAGATTATGAATACCATTTCAGTCTTTGCAGATGACAACAAGCTGTGCAGTGGAATAACGTCCTTACAGGATGTCTCCAATTTACAAGCCAACCTCAATGCACTGTTTAATTGGCCAACTATGTGGCAAATGAGGTTTAATGTTGATAAATGTAAGGTTATGCACTTGGGGGCTAAGAATATGCATGCATCATATAAACTAGGGGGTACACCTGGGGGAATCAATGGTGGAGAAGGATCTGGGAGTTCTGGTAGATCACAAGCTTAATAATGGCATGCAATGCCAAGCTGCGGTTTCTAAAGTGAGCAAAATCCTCTCTTGTATTAAAAGGAGGTATAGACTCCAGAGAGAGAGATATCATATTACCCCGGTACAAATCATTAGTAACACCTCGTCTGGAATATGCAATTCAGTTTTGGGCACCAATTCACAAATAAACATTGGGGAGCTGGAGAAAGTACAGAGAAGGGCAACCAAACTGATAAGAGGCATGGAGGAGCTCAGCTATGAGGAAAGATTAGAGGAACTGAATTTATTCTCTCTTGAGAAGAGGAGATTAAGGGGGGATATGATCAACATGTATAAATACATCAGTGGTTCATATAGTGAACTCGGTGTAGAGTTATTCACCCTGAGGTCATCACAGAGGACAAGGGGACACTCTTTACATCTGGAGGAAAAGAATTTTAATCTCCAAAACATGGAAAGGTTTCTTCACAGTGAGAGCTGTGAACATGTGGAATAGACTCCCTCAAGAGTTGGTTCTGGCCAGCTCAGTGGATTTCTTTAGAAAAGTCCTGGATTCTTTCCTTGATACACAGAATATAACTGGATACTAGCATTTATAGATAAAATTGATCCAGGGAATATCCGATTGCCTCACGGGGATCAGGAAGGAATTTTTTCCCCTGCAAGAGCAAATTGGATCATGCTTTGCTGTTTTTTTTTACTTCCTCTGGATCAACTGTGGGTATAGGATTATAACTTTTTTTTTATTATTTTAATGGTGGAAATGGATGGACGTTTGTATTTTTTCAGCCAAACTATGTAAATATGTAAATAAATTCTGCAATGAATGATTTAAAAAATGTTTTGTCACCTTATCAGCAATGAACTGTTGGCGGCGATCCTCAAGCAGTTTCTCCACTGCTCTTTTGTGCTCCAGCTGTTTCATCCTCCTCTTCTGAGCATTCATCTGCTCAATCCTGTCATCTTCAGCAAACTTTGCAAGCATAGCTTGTCTGAAAACCTCCTCTTCCTCTTTTGCTGCTTGTTGAACAATTTGCTTAAAAGCCATTTGTTCTTCAAAGGTTCTCTGCAACTCAAGACGCTGGCGAATTTTCTTTTCCAACTCTTCCTACAAAATATTAAGCAAATGGTTATCAGAAAATCTGGGTTCGTGTAAAAAAAAAAATTTTTTCTTTTTAAAAATCATGTATTAACATGCTGCAGAAATTAATGGAAACACTAAAAGATGTAGGAAGACTTTTTTTTTCAGATTATGACTGATATTTTTTTCCATCCTTAAAGCGGAGTTCCACTCACCCTGTCAAAAAATAAAAGTCAGCAGCTACAAAAGCTGCAGCTGCTGACTTTTAAAAAAACAGCCACTTACCTGTCCCTCGGTCCTGCGGTATGTCCCCCGCAACCAGTTTTACCAGCCGTCCTGTATTCCAGGAGGCCGGCATCTTCAGTGTGGGCTCCTGGCTGTGACAGCTGGAATGGCTATGAATAAGGGTTTTTACCGAAACGCGTAATGTACTGTAACTTGCACACTGTACCCTTTATGAATAAAGTACTTTTTTGCCAGCTCTTCATCTTATACTCCTATGCAGTAACAAAAAGGACTCTCTTTGGCTTCCATCAAAGATTGGGTTTTGCCAGACTTAGCTCTAGGATTATTTTGGTAAGGTAGATGGGCATTCTTGCCATTGTTAACACCCTTAATGAGGACACTTAGGGTGGCCCCTAATAGAAGTTGTCCCTCAAAATGGCATACAGAGCAAGTGCTTTTTGCATGGGACCTCTCCAGACCAACACTGATTCTTCTTATGTTCAGTGACAGGGGCTCCTAAGGCAAGGTGGGAGACCTAACAACCTGTCCATACTGAAGCTTAAAGCTGTGGACATGGATTTCAAATGCTCTGTCACCAAGCGATCAACTACCATAGTGGTCAGGTCCCTTCTAATAGGCTTAGACCAGTCAGCTTGAGTTTGACAACTTAAGCTCACAGCCAAGACAGGTTGCAGTGCTGGGCTGCTAATGAGAACAGGAGTTCTGGGAAGGGTCTCCAGCCATCTGTCAGTAGGGTCCTTAAGGATAGTTGCACTCTCTATGGAGATGGTAGATGATTCGTTAAGACAGGATATTATTATTATACAGGATTTATATAGCGCCAACAGTGTGCTCAGCGCTTTACAATATAACGGGAGACAATACAGCAACAATACAGTTCAATACAAGAGGGATAGGAGGGCCTGATCCTGGGAGCTTACAATCTAGGAGACTATTGGATTTACAGAAGTGTCAGACCATGTTTTAACTAAGTTACCCTAAAATGGGCGCAAGGCTGGTGAATGCTTACTTGGGAGGTACAAAGCTTGTCAAGATTTTTTCAGTCAGATAAAAGAAGACTGCAAAAAGCAGGTGAAGCAGAAATGTTTAGGTGGTCTTAGGAGCACTAAAGGATCCTAAACTGCAGGCAGGACTGTTAATAGGCTACAGGAGTGGTGAGCTCCATGTCACCAAGAGCCGAGACAAATCGCTTTAAGTTTGGGAGTAATGACTGAAGGCTGCAACTGTTCAGGTGCAGGTTCGTGTTTGAGGAACATGAATGATTCAGCATTAGAGTCTTGGCAGATGAGCACTCAAAGGCTGCTAAACCAGTGGAAGATTTGAAATTCTGCAGGGGAAGGTGCAGCAGTATAATTATGGCCTCTGCGGACAGGGTCAGTAATTAGTAGCACTTCTTGATCATGTTTTAACACATTAAAAAGTGTTGTAGGAAATATAGTTTTTACTGTTGAAAAGTATGTTTTTAGTCCACCTAAAAGAGCCAGGAGAAGGTTCTGTCCAGCAGAATCTACTGGTGATTAAACTATGTAATTGAACTCACGTGGCAAAATTCCTAAATTAGAATTCCTTTTCTTTCCCCTTTTTTTAAACAAAGCCATTTAGTCTCACTTCTCCTGAATTTGCTTAATGAACAGTAAATAAAAACTCTGGCACACTGTATGACATTCCCTGCAGCACATGGGTATTGAGGTGCAAAGATATTTCCACAGGATCACGAGATGGATAAGAAGCAGATGGCCCATTCCTGTTTAAGTACCCATGCTTTGGAATGACATAAGTACAGACTTCCATAAATAATCTTGCCAAGGACTGTTACTGGGAATTTAAATGAACATGTTAGAAGATACACAAGATACAGTCTTGTTACCGGGCATAAAGGCAGCATTTGCACTATCCTCTTAAAGTGTATTACCTCCTTCAAGGCAAACATCCCTGAACAATAAATGCTTTAATCCCCTATTAGGCCTCGCTAATCTGAAATGGGTTGTTCACCAGGCAAGATCTTTAAATGTAGCAGATTTCTGCTACAAACTATCACTTAAAAAGAAAAATCAATGGATTCTTGCACAAATTAACAATGCACTACAGTAAAGAGGCCCATAAACATTTAAAGACATTTTCAGATGTTCTGAAACAATCTGATGACTGAAAGATATCCCTCAACTGACACTTATATTGCTAGTAGGCCTATAATAAGATAGCCTAGAATCACTATTATTGCTCACAGAGATGAGAAAAAGGTAAGCAAATGTCAGAAAACTACAAAAACAACATTTTTTCCCCAACAGTGGGAGCCTAGGGATGTCTGCCATGTCCCACAGATAGATTGCTGATAGCCTGCTCCAATTTACAGAAGGAGGTAATATCGTAATATCTGTCACTTACGATTTCCCGCTGTCTGGCCTGCTCAGCTTGTTCTTCCAGGTACAACTCTTCTCGCATTTGATCCAGTTCTTCTCTCTGCTGCTGTTCTTTATGAATGTGCTCTGCAAGCTGTTAATAAAACACAGTAAATGGTTAATATAAAAAAAAGTACACAAGTATGAATTGATAAAATATCAGTCTCTTCTGTCATAAATGCTTCCCCTGCCTGTCAGCCGTAATGTACGCTGAGCCACGCATGTGCAGCTTAGTGTGCAATAATAGCATCCGATCTGTGCGCGTGTGCAAAAGGGATGTCATCACAGCTTGGCTTTTCAAGCGGCTGAAGAAATGGAACCCAAAAGCACCCAAGACACATGAGACTGGTGACACTGCAGCAATTGGGGGGGCACTTTATGAGAGGGAAGTCTGTCATAATGGGCTAAGGTATGGCGCATACAAGTACATTATGACTTAAACCTCAGGGAGACCAAATGTTTGTTCATGAGTTTACTACCGCTTTAAGGTAAGTGAAATGCTTATTTTAGCACTTGTGCACAATGGCACCAGAAAGTGCCTATACCATTAGGCAAGCAGTGATTACTTGTTTATTTTCAGGGTTAAATGACAGAGTTTTTACTAGTTTCCCATCTTAGTGATGGTGGTCACTGTGTACTCTCCAGCAGGGGTACAGACAGAAAAAAAAATAAGATTTAACCCTCAGTTTTGGCTGAAGTGACAGTTTGGTTCAGTCCCATCTCCTTAGTGTGCACACACCAATTTCTGAATTCCATAATTAATTTGGTAACCTCTGGCTTATTATTTGACAAATCTTGTCTAATGACATCCGAAGCCAACATTCCTATGTGTTATGAAAAAAATCCCATTGAAAGTTTTTACTGTCTGATAAACAAAAATTCCAGCAAATTTTAAAGTGCTTTCTGTGCTTTGTAGCTATACATTCAGAGGCCTTTATCAAAACTGGAGCAATCAGAATCTACAGCATCTACACAAGCAACCAATTAGCTTCAATGTTTCATTTTCAGATTGTAAAGTGGAACTTCCCAGCGATGTGGCATTCTGGAGCTCCCTGCCATCTGCGGACATCTTTAAGCGGCTGGTTTCCAGGTTTCAGTTGCTGGCTGCTTTTATTGCCCGGGCCCATATGATTTTACCCCTGCCCATGTGTGAAAGTTCAGCTGGCTTTGGCCTTACCACATGAGCAGCTCACTGTACCGGGCAGACAGGCTGGTAGGTAACTTTAATGCAGAAGAAGAGACAAAGCATGTCACCTTTGCATTAAAAATCCTGTCTTCTGTTTTTACCTAAAGCTCCATTTTAACTGAACAAGCTGAAGAGAGAAGCTGATTGGTTTTCATGCCCAGCTGCTCCAGTTTTGATAAACTCCCTTCATTGTGCACTGTTAAATGGTTTTAAAAAGGTACGTCAGTAATTAATACCATGTCCTGGATAGCTTTCTTCTTCTCCTCCCGCTCTCTGATCTCGGCCACGCGATCTTCTTCTCTTCTCTGCTGCATGTTTGCAAAGGCCAGAATTCTCCGATTTTCTGCCTCCATTTTCTCTTTTTCCAATTTTCTCCAAGTCTTCTGCTGATCCTTGAATTCGTCAATGTATCTTTTAGTAGCATTCATTTTTTCCAGCTTTAACTGTCTTTCCCTGATATAGCAAATAAGTAAACACTGAAATGCTGGTCATTTAGCATAAAATCCATGTTAACTTGTTAATAAGTGCAATGTAATTTCATGCGGATTAATAAATGCAGAAAAAGTGTAGCAGGGCTGTCTCAGCAAAAGAACTATGAAATGTTGGACATGAGTGCAATGTTTAACCACTTGATTTACCCCTCTTCATGACCAGGCCATTTTTTGCAATATGGCGCTGTGCTATTTTAATTGACAATTGCGCAGTCATGCAACACTGCAAACAAAATAAATGTATATCATGTTTTTCACACAAATGGAGCTTTCTTTTGGTGGTGGTATTTGATCACCACTGGGTTTTTTATGCTATAAACAAAAAAAACAGAAAAAAATAAAGTAATATATATATATATTTTTTTTTACTATAAAACATAGATTAATTAATACAAATATAAGTATGCGGGAGGTGGAAATGAATTATAAATGTTTAGTAAGATGGTATATTACACTGAATGTGGCACATAGGCTGAGTGGGGAGAATTCACCATTGTGTTGGCGGGGTTGTGGAGGGAGAGGCACGATGTATCATATATGGTGGGAGTGCCCAAAAATACAAGAATTTGGGGAGAAAATAGTGCACCTGATTCGGAAGATTACAGAAGTTGACGTTATATTAGATCCAGAGATTTGCCTTTTTCACAGTACAGAGTTGTCAGTGAATAAATATAAGGAATCTGGTATATGGTATTATTTAAATGCAGCAAAGGGTCTGATACCCAAGTTTTGGCGGAGATGGGAGGTGCCGAAAGTAGAGGATTGGGTGGATAGAGTGGACCAGATATGTAGGATGGAGAAACTTTACCATATGAATGAAGATAGGATGGGGAGATATTATGTGAGATGGAACAAATGGGAAGAATTTAAGTTAAATGTGGAAAATATGGGGGTATAATGTAAAATATTATGAGTACACCTCTCTCTGTTATATGGAAGATGTAGGAAAACGCAGAGTGGGGAGGGGGGGATAGGAAAGGGGGGGTGGAGGGTAGATAGGAGGTTGGGGGGGTTTGGGGGGGTAGAGACAATTAGGGGAATGATAATTGTACTATAAATGTGCTAATGTTTTTAAGAGAACAAGGTTGTATAATTTGTTTGAAAATCAATAAATAAAAAAAAAAACATCTGGGGAAAATCAAAGGGTTAACTTTGTGCCTAACTATATGTGAGGTGTGTGCTGTTTTACTAGGGGACGTGACAGTTTTTCTCTCCCTGCCTCTGCGGGGAGACAAAAATTGCCACATCCCCGCTGTCAGTACAGAGAGCTGTGGTGCTTACCAACACAGACCTCTCTCCTGTCACTAGCTCCGATGATTGGTGGGTACCAGCCATGAATCACTGGTGGGGACCCCTGCGGGTGCCAATGATAGCAAGGAATGACAGGTGTGTGTGTGTGTGTGTGTGTGTGTGTGTGTATCTGTATACATATATATATATATATATATATATATATATATATATATATATATATATATATTATATAATATCACACACACACACAGTATATATACACACAACACTGTATGACACCTAGCCTTGAAATGGAGTTTTAAAGCAGCACACCATAGACTGCTAGAGTGCAGTGAAGAAGAGGCTGCAGGGGAGCACCTAGCAGTGAAAAGAAGCCTGCAGGAGTGGAGGAGCAGGTACATTAAACTGCTGAACCTGGTCCCCTAGGCATAAACAAGCAGTTAACCCTAGCCATGCAAGCAGAGATCCACTGCAAGAAAGGACTTTTAGTTTTCTGAGTTTGCGTTCAGCTTTAAGTAATAGCAATCATGATAACTTTCAAAACTGTGTTCTCTTTATGGCAGGTGGTAAATGTAATGCTATAGGCTAATTCACAATTAGGCTACATTAATACTTTTTTTTTATTTGCACTAACATACAATTTTGCGGACAAGCTTTCGGGGGTAAGTCCCCTTCTTCAAGGTCCAGGCAGTACTATTTCACAAAGTTTTAGCAGAATGTTAGAAGAGATGTTGAAAGGGGTAGAAAAAAAAAAACAGTAAGAAACACACACACAAACAAATGTACACAACAATGGTTATTAGACTAGCGATAAGACACAGCAAAAAGCAAAGACTGGGGGGGGGGGGGGGGGGGGGGGGGGGATTGTCGTAACAGAGGGGGTCGTAAAACTGTTGGATAATGATTGAGGAATCCCATGTCCAAATTAAGGCCGTTATCTCTTGTATCAAATAGAAATATCATTCTTAGTTCAAAAGCTTTCATTTCCTGAATAGTTTTGAAATTTCCTGTAAGAACTAAAACATTGAGGTCTTCCATAGTGTGGTCCGGTTGTGTGAAATGGTGTCCCACAGGTGTGCAAAAGTCATCTTCTTTATGTTCCTTGATGGTATGTCTGTGCAAATTCATCCTTGTTTGCAACTTCTGTTCTGTCCAACCTCCTAGACACCACAGTATACATCAGGGATGATACGTTTCACACCTCAATATACAGGAAACCCACTGACAGATGCAACTACCTCCACAGTTCTAGCTTCCACCCCCAACACACGAAACGTGCCATCATACACAGTCAGGCCATGAGATACCACTGAATATGTTCTGACCCAAGAGACAGAGATGAACATCTCGGGACACTAGCAGACTCCTTCCATAAGAAAGGTTACAAAGGACAAAACAATCAACAACAGCATAAACACAGCCTTGAGAACCCGAAGAGAAAATCTACTTCAGTATAAAGAGAAAAAAACAAACAACCGTGTACCTCTAGTAACCACATACAACCCAGCACTAGAAGGAATAAGAAAAATAATCAAAGATTTACAACCCATCATAACAGGGGATGGAACTCTGAAAGAAATATTCCAGCAACCCCCAATACTGGCCTTCAGAGAAACCCCCCAACCTCAGAAATAAACTAATCAGTAGGAAACTTCCTTCTGATTATGAGGTCACAAATAATGGAAGCAAACCCTGCAATAAGAAACGCTGCAAACTATGCAACCAAATCAATCCATCAAAGTGTCAGACACTCAAAAGGGATCTTCAATATCTTCGGATCATACAGCTGCACCTCCAGTAATGTTGTGTACCTTATCCAGTGCAGAAAATGCAGCAAAGGATCTTATGTTGGCAAAACAGGACAGAAGTTGCAAACAAGGATGAATTTGCACAGACATACCATCAAGGAACATAAAGAAGATGACTTTTTACACACATGTGGGACACCATTTCGCACAACCGGACCACACTATAGGAGACCTCAATATTTTAGTTCTTAAAGGAAATTTCAAAACTATTCAGGAAATGAAAACTTTTACGACCCCCTCTGTGAATGTTGTTCCCCCCCCCCCCCAGTCTTTGCTTTTTATATCTCTAGTCTAATAACCATTGTTGTGTACATTTGTTTGTGTGTGTGTTTCTTTCTGGTTTTTTTTTTTGTCCCCCTTTCAACATCTCTTCTAACATTCTGCTAAAACTTTGTGAAATAGTACTGCTTGGACCTTGAAGAAGGGGACTTACCCCGAAAGCTTGTCCTCAAAATTGTATGTTAATGCAAATAAAAAAAATATCACATCAGTACTCAATTGTTTCTGTTGCAAGTGCACTAATACGGCTACAATCACTTCAAGCTACATTAATACACAATTTTGTGTATTGAGGCGTCAATTTATTTAAAAATGGGCACTCAACCCTCCCTCAGTGCACAAAAAAAAAATAAAAACCCACACATTATTTTTGATAATGCAGTACACCACAGCACAATGACATCTGTGCATAGCGGTGTGCTATGGCACAGGTATGTTTTTGAACGGCAGAGCACCACAACTCATACACAGTACATAACAATGAATTGTAGTAAAGCCAGTATGAATCCAGCCTAAATTTATAGTTAATAATCTGGGTGATGGTAAATTTTCTTTTTCCCTGTTAATATGAACTAAGCTACATGATTGCTGCACATTTGATAATACAAATTAAAAAAAAAACCAAAAAAAAAAAAACCAAAAAAAAAAAAACTTACCTTTTTTTTTTTTTTTTTAACATGCTCCATACATTTAACATGTGTTTTTATGCACTCAACACAGAGAGATTAATTTTTTTTTTTTTAAGGGTCATGTTTAACATCTAAATAAAGAGAAGAATATATTGTTGCCCCAAGATGTTAATTAGGTTACAGGCAACAGCTTTTTTGGAACTGGATTATTTTTATATAACGTTTTAGTATTTGAAAGTATACATGTAATAAAATCTAGAATAAAAACGCCACATGTGCCTGCTGCACTTGTGAATGAGCCCTTAGTTGCATTTGGCAGCAGCACCATTAGGGCTCGGTCAGACCACGTAAAGTTGGGGGCTGGTAAGACCTTATGGTTGGGTCACAGTTTTACCACCCCATTGCCTACTCCCTTTAGCTGCTGAGGCAGCAGCCAAAAGGTGTACACATGCCACAGCAGGAATTAACCCCCCTGTTGCTTTTGGTGGGTGCTGCTGCTTGCCAATCGCGATTCATTCAAGTAAATGGGGTCACTCTTCAAGCGCCCCGCAACTCCATGCTTCTGTGGGGTCCAAGGGGTTAAAGCAGGTGGTGAGAAAGAAACACAACGCTCTCATCGTGCATTACCGTGGTACACCACATATTTATTGTGTAAACAAAAAGATGTATACTCACAAACCAAAGGTAAAATAAAAAGCAGAATATGTAATCCGCAATGGCAGTCCATACAACGCTGTGCCCTAATTAGGGATAAGCGACACGTTTCGGGAGACGAATCCCCTTCTTCAGAGCTAAAGTGTGTGCCTGCTGGTCCCATGCTTATATACCAAAGAATGCCAAAGTGGTCAAAAAACCCTCTCCCCAACCACTCGTTAAGGACCAATCACAAGAAAGGCTGACTAGCTGGGATAAGAGGTGGAGTGCAGTTGGTATCACTCCGCATGGGACAGGAGCCAGCACTACATGGGAGGCATCGGCTTATGCGGCTCTTG